AACTACCTTTTACTTACACCTATATTCTTAACATCCAGAGTCTACCAAAGCTTGAGGGCAGCATTCTTTCACTTCCTAAAGTTGCATATGCTGGAGATTTACAGCGCCTTGTCCTTGAACTGACGAATCAATCTAAATTTTCTGTAAAGGTATGAGCATTGCAACTTGACTATTCTTCACATACCTAATTACTTGACCTGCAGAATTTGTAATTCGGTCAATCACAATTTGGTTGATCTTAAAAAGTCTTAAAGGCCTGACCTTTACTACAGAAATAGGCAGATACTTGCAACTTTTCATCAAAAAGACTGCTTGACCAGTACCTCTATATGTCTTGCAAAGATTTTGTACGTATGTTTTTACCATGTGGCAAATGTTGGCGGACTCTTACTTAACAGCCTAATAATTACATTTTGGCAGAATCTGAAAATGAAGATCAGTCAATCACGATTCTTGAAAATCGGGAAGCAAGAAAATATGAATGCAGACTTTCCTGCTTGCTTGGAGAAGCCAATTAATGGTGAACAGGGAGTACGCCCTATACCTAATACAACATCAAATGATACATTTTTGTTTCCAGTGGTCAGTGTCAATCATGTTCCTGAGCTATTTATTAACTGATCAACAGCAATAAATTTTCCAGCGGCCATACTTTCAGCTTGAATCTTTAAAAAATTACAAACCATTAGATGGTTCAGGTGTTGACAATTTCAATTTTGAAGAAAATTTCTTTTGAACAAATGATTATGCAGGTTTTCTTATGAACCCCTTGCTTTTGGACAATCATATAAATTAAATCTGAAGTCTGTATGAGTGGGATTATAAGGTTGTTAAGATTAATACTATTGGTAGCCGAACTTTGTAGATAGTGTTAAATATATTATTGTCATCATTCCAAGATTATGAGACTTTTGGATTCCAGTTTTTCCTTTTCTTTTAAACCTAGTTTGACAAATTTATGTTAGAATTAATTATTTAATTATTTTATGTGTTTTATTTCCTAGTAAGAGAATGAATACTTCAGTCATGTATCTAAGACTCAAATGTTCCAGGACACTTCAATTCAAGGCGGAACACCCTTATTGTTGCCCCTTTGGCTTCGAGCTGCTGTTCCTGGAAATATATCCTTATACATAAGTATATATTATGAGATGGAAGGTGTATCAGATATCATGAGATATCGCATTCTACGCATGCATTACAATATTCAGGTATTGCAAAATGTGCATAACTTGGTGGCTTGACTGACTTTAAGCTGTGTATAGTTTTGTCTTCATAGTTGAAACCAATAGGTTTACCCTTGATATAGTGATAATTCATCTTAGCAATGCATTCTTTTTTGGCCTTACAATCTTCAGGGTTCAGAAAATTTTCCTTTCTGTTACCGTTTCTCCCCGTTATATGGAGAGTACTATCTGTTATTTTGTTCTTTGGTCCTCTCGGTGAATGTTTTATCTACCAGAAAATAAATATTTATCTTTTTTACTTTGTCTGCTTTAACTTTGGTGGTTGATTTCTCTTTCCATATTCTTGGAGTTGCATCGCTGATTTATTAATTACTTCAGAATAAAAATTTCTCCCTCTGGATGGATTTATCGTCTGCTAAATATTCTAAGTTGGGTTTTTTTTTTCAAACTGTCTCAAGGTTTTGCCATCCCTGGATTTATCGTTCCAAGTCAATCCATGTCCATCAAGATTGCATGAGTTTCTTGTCCGAATGGATGTTATGAACAAGACTAGCTCCGAGGTTTTCCAAATTCATCAGTTGTCATCTATTGGACAGAACTGGGAACTTTCGTTACTTCAACCTGTTGATAATATTTTTCCTTCTCGAGCTTTAATGCCTAATCAAGCATTGTCATGTTTCTTCGTTCTCAAGGTATGTACAAGGAGCTGAATCTAAGCTAAAGTTTTTCTTTTCTAATTATCGCACATGCATTTGGAGTAACTGGTTTACTATTATTTTTATCTTTGATTAAGCAGGTTTCAGTAGTTAACTATGCATGCTATAATTGGAGTAACTATTTGGAAAAAAAGAAAAAGGCTATAGCTACTAATCTCACAAATTCTTCTCTGTATTCAGAATGTTAACAAATTGTTCAGTTCTGAAAAAAAAGTATCTTCTGTCCCGGTGCTACTTGGAAGTGATCTAAAGTTGGGTTCTCAGAGTAGCGATGAACAGCTCTTTGATACGGCTAATTTTCCTCTAGCTGCTTTCCATTATTCTGAAAGAGCATACCAAGGAACTTCAAACCAGGTAATTGATTTTCATTTTATCTATGTAGTTTACTTCCAAATGCTTACTAATAATGATTGAATCCCGAGTCTCTCATATAGAAACCTCCCTTATGGATTTTAAGATTTCCAAGCCCCCAAGTGTTAAAAAGAAGAAGAATGATTATATTTCAGCCCATCCTTTGAAATTTTCATAAAAAGGGGTCTTTTCTTCTTTTCATTCATGCTCGGAGGAAATTTTTTTGAATTCTGAGTCAATTGTAGAAAGATGTACATGGCTTTTAGCACCCTCCAATAGAAAATGTCGCCTTGCTACCTTCCCTTCACCTGTCCTGCCTCTCAACAACCATCATTTTCACTCCTTTGGATCTAGTTCTAGGTTTAATAAGAGGAGCTATTCACTCGAGAACGGACCCTCCGAGGTGACATCCCAAACGTTGACTCCAAGGTAAGCTTGAATAATGTGGAATCAGTCATTCAGCCAATGGATTTAAATACAGAGGTTGATGTTCGTAAAGATTATTCTTTTGAAGCTTTTGACTCATAATTTCTGGATTGAGACACGAAGACTCCTCTTCCTATTCCTTCATTCATGTCGGCCAAATTGGCTCTGTTGATAGAAGGTTGTGGTCTTGAGTTTTATGAAATTCCTCATTCGGCTCAAGATTGAAGCCCCGCTACCACGGTCTTGGGAGTTGGGGCCAATCAACTATTTTACATTCGTTGCGTTTTCTTGTTTGTTTAAGTGTTTGCTTCCTTACTATAATCGTTCTGCATTTATCAGGACCTAAATACAGTAGACTTTATATTGATCACTCGGCCACTTAAGAATACTACTGATCCTGGAGTTTCTGAATCATCGCGTCTATTCTCTCATCATGTGTGCCATTGCAGGTAATATTCAAAGCAATATCTTACAGTTCTGGTGATGCAAGCTTTTCTATTTGTGTATATATCCATTTATCTTCCTTTGTCTTTTCTTTTCATTTATGCAGTACTTCAAGCAACAGTCCTATATCTTGGCTACTTGAAGGGCCTCGGAGTTCATATCACAACTTCTCTTCTTCTTTCAGCGAAATCAATTTCAAAATGACAATCTTTAACTCTTCAGATTCAATTGCATCCATACGCATTAAAACAATTGACTCAGCTGAAGGTAATGAATCTGCTCCTCCATCCCCTAGCTCTGCGAACCAAACAGGATGGCACTATGCCTCACTTACACAGGACATTAAGGTCACATCTGATGTTCTGGGAGCACAAATGGCTAAGTCATCTTCACTTGAAAGTGTCTCTCCATTTATCTGGTCCGGAACAAGCTCAACAACACTACAAATTGAACCCAACTCCATGGCTGAAGCTCCTCTTCAGATCTGTATCTTTTCTCCTGGAATATATGATCTCTCAAACTATATTTTACAGTGGAAACTTCTGCCGTCATCTCGATCAGGAAACGACGAAACTAACGTCTCATCAGGAACTTGCCAGGGCTATCCATACTATCTTACTGTCCTTCAATCTAATTGAGACACTTCAAAATCATGTATGCAGGTCCTTCTTCCATTCCTTTTTTGCTTTAGGAGTGTTTTCATAGCATTGTTATAATGTTCCTTGTGAATTATATTCATATCAAAAGCATTTTTGATGGGGGGGTAGGAAAGCTTAATCAAGCTTATCTATAGTTACATAAACTAAATTCTTTCTCGGTGTTGGTGTAATAAGGGGGAACTAGAACTACAATGACCTTTTCACCCTGTCACTGTATACATACTGACATTTTGGATTAGAGAAACGTGATCTTATTCCAAGTTATAGGAATTGGAGTTTTTCTAAGAAATTTAAACTTGAAAGTAAGAAAATTTATGATTGGTTTTCATTGGTACTAATGGTTCATGATATGAAGATGATATCATTATGGAAGCTCTCAAGTTCCTCCTATCCCTTTCATTTCAATTTTATGGATTAGCTCGATGGGTGTCGAACAAAAAGAAGTTAAAATGTTTCATCTTTCTAAACAGGTTGTAGGTTCGAAATATCTAATAGTTCAAGGTTATAGTGCGTCTTTCAATAAGAAGTTTACACATTCAAGTTCTCCAACTTGTATTTGTCGTGTAATACAATAGAAACAAAGTTATAATCCGCTCCGAAAAGGATGTGATATTGATATTCTAAAAAAGTTCTAAACTTTACACGAGTGAGCGACAAAATTATCAAATTATTGAAAAACATTATAGGGGAGAGGAGGAGAGATTAGAGAGCGAAAGAGATCGAAAACGACCAAGTCAAAGGCAGTCTCCAAACGCGTTTTCTAAGAACCCCATAAAAAATAATTGTCCAATAGCTAACAACTTCTTTGCCTACTTTAAAAAAGAAAACAAATTCTGCTGCCTTTTATTATAATCCTCAATTGCCATTATTTTAATTTCTAGTTGTGTAAATAAATGTTTAATATTATTAAAAAAGCGTTGAATTCCCCTCGTGATATCTCTAAAGTATCACTTAAAACCTTAAACTAATAAATGTATCAATTTTAACTAGTAAGTTAATAAATTTAGACCCATTAATGTATAAATTGTACACGTGTATAAAATTTATTTAAATGCAACAATTAGTGTAAATCAGAAAAAAATAAGATAATCAAATAGATATTTTTGGGTTGAAATTCACATTTTGAATATCTTTTAGATAATAGTATTACTTATTTATGAAATACCAATAATATATTTAAAAAATAAGATTTTGGAATTTTCTTATTTTTATTTTTATTTTTTTATCATCCATCCTTCCAAGGAACTTCCTGTGATCCATTTCTTCAGCACTCTTCCGCCCACCCCATTGACTTCTCTTTGTCCGCTTCAGATTCCTCGGTTTGTAGTCCATTTGACCCAGATTCCCGCTTTTCTCATATAACCCTTCAATTCCTCTTCTGGGTTCTTCAATTCTCCTGTTTTTGAACTCACCCAATTCTCCATTCTTCTTCTGGGATTTCGCTTAGGTTGCAGAAGAAATTCAAAGGGCTGCCAATGAACGATTTGTTCTCTTCTCGCTCTTTCTCCCGCGACAGCCATGTCGTTGAGATGGGCAACGCCTCCTCTTCTCCCACTGCTGTTAATCTCGACAAGTTCTTTGAAGATGTTGAGTCCGTTAAAGATGAGCTCAAGGAGCTTGATCGACTCTGCAGCAAACTCCATGACTCCCATGAACAGAGCAAGACGCTTCACAATGCTAAGGCTGTCAAAGACCTCCGATCTCGCATGGATTCCGATGTTTCTCTTGCTCTCAAGAAGGCCAAACTCATTAAGGTCCGATTGGAGGCTCTTGATCGCTCCAATGCCGCCAATCGGAGCCTCCCGGGTTGCGGCCCTGGTTCCTCTTCTGATCGAACTCGGACTTCTGTAGTCAACGGCTTGAGGAAGAAATTGCAGGATTCCATGGAGAGCTTCAACAATCTCAGGCAACAGATCTCCTCCGAGTACAGGGAGACCGTTCAGCGAAGATATTTCACTGTTACTGGTGAAAATCCGGACGAGAAGACCATTGACATATTGATATCTACAGGTGAGCGAACTCAAATTTGATTGTCTCATGTGCTTAGTTCATCAATTTTGGCTTCTGGATTTAAAGCTACTTGTGGATGATAAAATTTCTGGATCACCATGATTTGTCATAGAATTTCGTTCTGAGATAGATATCAAATTCATCTATAATTTGCCCCAAACTGCATCTAATGATAAGTTGTACAACTGTTATATATTTTCCCCATTTGATTGTTTAGAATTGCTTAAGATCATCTTAACTTGCTGTAGTTTGATGTTTATGGAGGAAGTAGATCTTGTTTCTTTGATCCCCTCTTTTTGTTTTCTTTCAATTCTCTAGGAGATGGATGCCATTATTTGGTGAATGAACAAAAATGAGTTTCAATATCTTTGAAATGCAGGAATAAGGGAGATATGATTATATCTGATATTGAAACGTAGTCTTAATATGGGATTGCTAGAAATGAGCTGTTGGATGGTAATTGAATTTGATATCTAATCCCATGGCCTTCAATTATAAGTTGAATCGTTGGAGCTGATTTGAGCTGATTTGAAAAATGTAATCTGAAGACAAACAATGAAGATCTGCTAACGTGATAAGATATATATCTCCAACTATGCAGGTGAAAGTGAGACATTTTTGCAGAAAGCCATTCAAGAACAAGGCAGAGGCAGAATCTTAGACACCATTAGCGAGATCCAGGAGAGGCATGATGCTGTAAAAGACCTGGAAAGGAACCTCAAGGAGCTGCACCAGGTTTTCATGGACATGGCAGTCTTGGTGCACGAACAAGGCGAGAAACTCGACGACATCGAGAGCCAAGTGAACCGTGCTCATTCTTTTGTCCGAGGTGGTACACAGGAGTTGACTACAGCCAGAGTGTACCAGAAAAACACCCGAAAATGGACAATTATTGGCATCATCATTTTGCTCATCATTGTCTTGATTATTGTCCTCAGCCTTCGCCCTTGGAAGAACAATAACAGTAGCTCATCCACAACACCCTAAAACGCCTGGTTGCAGGCCTCGTAGTCTCCTGCCAAAAAACTCTCGATCGAGCCCTCACGCCATTCCACAGACATCAGGATCCTTTCATCTATGTTTTTACCTCATTTTATTTATATTTTTTCATTAGTATCATGATTTCTTTAGTTCTATAAAAGTTTAGACATGGAGAGATCAGAGATGGAGTGGCTTGTTTGATGAAAACCTTGAGGGCCTTGATGTGTCATTGAATAGCCAGGAATGGTTCCTGTTGACATTATTGTATACTCCCTTTGGATTTTTGGATTCTTTTGTGTAATAGATTTGATATATTTGGGAGTGATTTAGTTTTCACAACTAATAATTGTAATAATTTTATTCGAATGTTTATAGGTATAATTTACACCACCGGTTAAATTTATGTCAAAAGGATAGTGATCATTTTTCGATAATTTTTCGATAATCTTTCGATAATTTTTCGATAGTGTAGTCTTCTTCAAATGCTCGATGGTCAAATGGGTAGTTTTTATAGTACGAAAAAATATTATCATTTAAATGGAAAAAACACACAAATTTTTAGAATTTAAATGTCTTTACCTTCCAAAATTTCTTAAAAAACAAGTAAAGAAAAAGATAAAATAAAAACGACCCAATTTGTTTATTAGAATAAATGCATTAATTATTTTAAAAAATAATCCTTATAAATAATATAAATAGATTAATATAAAATTTATGAGTTTAATCTATATAATTATAAATATTGTTTTAGAGGAAATTGGTAATATATATATATAAGAAAATAATAATTTAGAGTTTTAATTTTTTTTTCACTATTTTAAATTAAATTATTTATTTCCTTTTACCCAAAAACGAATATTAGTTTCAAGAAAAATAAAAATCCTGTCGGATTTGGGAGGGTGTTTCTGTATAAAAGGGCCCATCGGAGAGGACTGGGATACGGCGGGAGAGGACTGGCGATAGGCGATAGGCGAATCCATTGCAGGTTCGAGGTCATTTCTCTCTCTTTACCTTACGAATTCGAAGCAATTTCAAGCAACTTCAATCAAAGCTCATCTTTCTAGATCTTCTCTCGCTTTCGAGCATGGGAACACTGCGAATGATAGGTAAGTAACTTTCTTCCCAGCCCGCCAAACGCTATCATTTCCCGCTTCTTTACACAATCGAGCTGCAATTAACTCTTTTCGCCTTTCTATCAATGCTGTCTCGCAGATATTGCGGTCAATTTTACAGGTGAGGCTGGCATTTCAGTCGATGATAAAATGTATACTGTTTATACATTAGAGTAGACGAAAGGGTCTATGTCCTTATTTCTCTGGAATGAGATTAGTATTTTGAATGCACAGATGGTATGTTCAAAGGAATCTACCACGGGAAGCAATACCACGCAGCTGACATAGCAGCTGTATTGAGCAGGGCTTGGAGTGCTGGCGTTCAGCGAATCATTGTGAGTCTTGTTCATTTTGTTTTGTAATGCGTATTAGCTCGTATGCGTGAAGGGTTATCCCCAATGTTCGGTTCTTTGATTGCTTTTTTGGTATCTTTAAGTTCTGAAACATGTATCCATGGATTGGCTTCCTTAATGCTCTCATGTGCTAATCTTTCACTATTTCTTTCTGCCAAATTTACTTCCTTACGGCTCGGAGAAATAGAAATAGAAAAAAAGCATCCTAAAATGCCGACCATATGCATATTAGAGCGAGAAGGGATCTCAACTTGTTTTTTAAAGATTCTTAACAATACATTATTTAGACTTGGAGGTACTATTCATTGCTTGATGGTGTTGAAATGTGGGTATTGTTTTAACTCTCAGGCCTTGAAAGATGAAAGAAAATAAAAATACATAAAGCATGCATGTAAGATGGATTCTGATCAACCATTTATGTCTTACTGTCTTTTTTTTTTTTTTCCCCTTTTTTGGCCTGAAGATGATACAATCTAGAATAGTTTGTAATTGCAGGTGACTGGTGGATCACTCGAGGAATCAAGGGAGGCCCTTAAAATTGCAGAAACAGATGGTATTATTTTGTTTTTGTTGTCTAAATTCTGTTGAGCTTCTTTGTACTCTTTTTGAACTTCCTCATCCCCTTCTGGGTTATCTGTGTTTCTCTTGGTTCAACTTGTTTTGCTTGTAGGAAGGCTTTTTTGTACTGTGGGTGTGCATCCAACAAGATGCAAGGTTATTTTTTCTTCTATTTTTGGTGCCTCGTTCATGGTTTCGTATAGCTTGTGATATACTTTCTTTTCAGGAATTTGAAGAGAGTGGTGACCCAGAAACCTATTTTCAGGCTCTTCTTTCATTGACCAAAGAGGGAATTGAGAAAGGAAAGGTTAGAAAACTCATGTCAGAAAAGTCTAATTTTGACCTCTTTGTCATGATTCTTTGAGAGGATTAATCATCTTCTTGCCACACATGTATTTAAGGTCGTTGCAGTTGGTGAATGTGGATTAGATTATGATAGGCTTCACTTTTGCCCTGCCGATGTTCAAAAGAAGTAAGTATTCACTGAGAAGAATATTCTTCAGATCCCATGTTATGTATTACATTTTCTGCAATCCAACAGATGCAGTCTTGTATTATAGAATTGGCTATTTATTTCTGAGCTGTGCAATTGTAGATATTTCGAGAAGCAGTTTGAATTAGCAAACGCAACAAAGCTTCCTATGTTTCTACACATGCGTGCAGCTGCTGAGGATTTTTGTGGTATTGTAGAGAGAAATAAGCAAAGGTCAGGCTTCTAAACTAATGAGAGAACCAAACCTGTACCATCTTAAAATTTTCTAGATTTAAGGCACTAATCATCTGGATTTGAAATTGAAACTTAGAAACAAGATAACGGTTTTGAGGAATAAAACTATAAGCACCAAGAGCAAAAACATCAATTATTTCAACAGGGACATATCTGTGCAAGCAATATGCTGGGATCCAATTTATTTTTGTGTAAATTATTCAGTTCTCTGATATATATACACATTTGATGACCACCAGCTTTTCTTTCAGAAGAAATTGTAAAGGAAATGATAGAAACAATAAAATGGACATAAATGAAAGGGAAATAAAATTATTTCCTCATAGCAAAGAAAGAACAAACTTGAGGTGGATGTAATTATCTTTCATACACATTATAAGAGAGAAAAGAAATACATATATGTATAAGCATTCATACATCACATATCTTTTTCTTTTGGCTGAGAGGAGAAAAGAGACAATTATACGGGCATAAACTTAAAAAGGCTAACCGAGTTGCACTGTTAAAGAATACAGTTCAAGTATTACATGTGTATACTTTTCATTTTCCTCATTTCCTTTCGATTATTGCAATTCTCATAAATGATTAGGAACTTGCAAAAATTAGCTGCTTTCATTTCTGATTGCACGGATGTTGATCATGCTATTTATGCTTGTTGCATAGGTTTTGTGCTGGAGTTGTTCATTCTTTCACAGATAGTGCAGAAGATCGTGACAGGCTTCTGCTATTCAGTAATTTGTACATAGGTGATTGCCACTTGTTCATCCTTCCAGCTTTATTTCTTTCTTTATTTATTTTTCTCTTAAATTTCATACCCCAAATTAATTGCAACTTCTAAACAGGGATTAATGGTTGCTCCCTGAAAACTGCGGAAAACCTTGATGTCGTGAGGGGTATACCAATTGAGAGATTGATGATTGAGACGGACTCTCCGTATTGTGAAATCAAGAATACACATGCTGGGATTAAGTTTGTTAAGTCTGTCTGGGCTTCTAAGAAGAAAGAGAAGCATGACGAGCAGTGCATAGTGAAAGGCCGGAATGAACCATGTTTAGTTCGGTAAGATACTTTGTATTTTATTGTTGTTCTTTTCCTCAAATCGCATTCCTTTTTACATTTTAACAGTTGTTTATATCATCATACAGGAAAATGCCTTTCAATAATTGCTTCTAGGTTTATTTTTTTCAGAGGAAACATAATCATTTGATAGATAAAAATTGCTTCTAGTTTTAGTGACCAACTATATATGCCTGTGAGGAGAAATATGAAAGAACTACCATCATACTTTGTGCAAATTCTCAAATTACAAAAGAACCAAGTTTTGCAAACTTCTAATATGAGTTGGGAGGATAAGATGCATTATTGGAGCCAATGTTTCTTCTTTTAGCTCTCTTCTATTTTGAATCAGAAGTTACAATAGTGAGCTCTGTTGATTTCCTTACGAGATTTGTTGACTTTATTGGTTGATTAGAAGCGTTCGTTCTTGGTTGATTTGTTAACAAGGACAGTCTTCAAAGTACGATAGATCATTTTTTTCTTTGTTGCTGATGAAGCTTGTTAAAATGGAACTCTTCCTGTGTCGATCCCTTCATTGTTTGTTTCTAGACATTTTTCCTTGGTAGTGTTTTTAAAGGAAGGCTTGTGATTGATGCGATTTATTACATTTCTAAGATTTTGCCATGTTTTTTCAGGCAAGTTCTTGAGGTCATGGCTGGATGCAAAGGCATTACAGATATCAATCAGCTTAGTGAAACTTTGTACCACAATACTTGCAGGTATCATGTATTTCCAAGAATGAGATAATATCATAATTCATACAAATACTTCTAGATTTTCTGCAAGACCGCAACGTTATTCATAGAGTCTTACTGTTTTCTCTCTCTACTTGGGTTGGTCTATTTTGCAGAGTTTTCTTTCCTCAAGACCTGGACTCTGCAGCAGATGCCCTCCTTGCTGGTTCTCATGTTCTTGATGAAAAAAATTAGTATAAATCTGAAAAACCTACTTTCTGTTAAAGTCTACAATTTTTACACACCATTAGTTTTGGAAGCATAAGCACATTTTTCTCCAAAATGTTAACTTTCTTTCATCATTATGACTCCAGCTTTTCAGAATCCTTTTTTCTTGGGAGCAATTCTTGGCACTTGAATTGTTAATTCTCAGTAGGGAGGGAGAGAGATGACAAACAATTAGTGGTCATAGTTACAATTAGCAAAGATAATGGAAGAAAAGGCTGAGAGACTGATGTATTGTAGTACTAACTCGGAGAAAAGAGACTCCATAATACATAAGAGTCCAATTCTGAAGTCATACATAAAATACTCGTTAATCTGCGGCAACAATTTAGCACTTTCCCTCAACTCACATCACTCAATGAAAAAAAAAAAAAAACATATGCTTCCTTGGTCGTTGAGCAAGGAATGAAAGAGAATTGCGAGGGAAATCCTGAAGGTATTCAATTTGAAGAACAGTCCCTAGCCTTCAGTTTCAGTTTAATTTTTGGGCCAAATCAACTATCAACATCAGATTTCAGGCACTGATACTTGTAAGCAATTCATTGCTGTCGATGGTATTCTCAGTCCTTGTGAATGCTGCTGGAGAAGTTGGGGCCCGGTCTGCAGCCATGTTCAAACGAAGTGGTCGCCCTTCAACTTCCTGGTAGCATATTTGCATGGAAGAAGTCAATAACACAGGAATGATTGTACAAAATGCAGGTACATTTTCTCATGGCCTTTTCTAAACTAATCTAATTCTGGTTTATGTTTATGCATTGTAAACATCGGCCATTTAGAGGTAGCTTATAATGTAGTTCAGGATCAATTACATCAGTAAATTCTGTCACAAGTTCATCATGTCTAATCTCTAAAATCATATTGAAAAGTAACTCCACTTTCTTACCACTCCGTTCATGGAATCCAAAGCAGACTCTGCATCCTCGGCAGTTTCAAAAGATACAAATCCAAAACCTCGACTTCTTCCAGACTCCCTATCATAGATGACCTTGGCACTCAATATCCCTGGTTGGTTTTCAAAAGCCTCTCTAAGACTCTGAGAAGTAAGTCCCCAACCAAGGTTACCTGCATATATCTTGTGAGGACTATCTACAAATTTGTTATAGCTGCTTCTAATCTTTGGCCCCATGACTTCCTTTTCTCCTCCCCTTGGAACTTCAGGGAAGTTCACCCGAACAGTTCGCCCACCAATTAGCTGACAAGTAATTCATCCATTAGCAACTTTATAGCAACAATATCTAACAATCAATACATTACTCAATCATTTAGAGATATCATAATGTGGTGTTTAAACTATTAGAGGCCCAAGCATTTGTAAACTCTAGTGCATAAGAATCATACACTAATGACTATGTGAGATAACAAATTTGAGCGAGTGGCCCCAAAGGGGTAGATTGTGAGATCCCACATCGCATAGAGAGGGAAACAAAGTATTCTTTATAAGGCGTAAAAACCTTGAGGGAAATCATGCTTCGTTCTCCTCTCCCTAACAAACGTGTTTTAAAAACCTTGAGGGGAATCTTGAAAGGGAAAGCCCAAAGAGCGTAATATCTACTAGCGGTGGGCTTGGGTTGTTATAGACTAACTCTAACATTATATCATCTAATCCCACAAAGACACCAACAATGCCAACACTAGATGGCTATGCTTCCATTCAATCAATGGAAAAGCACTACCATCATTTACATTTATCAGATGTTACACCCAAACATCAGAATTTGCCTACAGGTTTGGACTTTCTCCAAAGTTTTGTTTCATTGAGAATGATTTACTTAAGTTAGTGTTTTATAGAGGCAACTTTTTTTCTCTCAGCAAGATTCAGCTTTAAGGTGTTATCAATCAGCAACCATCAGTAAGTTAAGTTAAGCTGAACAAACTGGATATCCATCCCTAGTTTCCACCACAATTGTTAAGCGAAGACAAAATGAAATGAAGAGAGAAAGAATAAGAAGTAGTTACAGAGCCGTCAAACATCCGAATTGCTTCTTTAGCTTCCTCCAAAGTTGCCATTGTCACAAATGCAAATCCCCTACTCCTATCCGTAACTTTGTCATAAATAACCTAACAGAAGATCCGGAAGAAAATCACATAAGAAACCAACAATGGCTAAGCAGCTCCAATAAGCCCTAGAAGAATGGATTCAGACGGATAAAGGTAAAACAAAAAGAAGCTAGATCAATCACAAACCTGTACAGAAACCACATGACCGGCTTCGGCGAAGACCTCAGTCAATTGGGAAGAGGTCATAGCATATGGTAAATTTCCAATATAAAGCTTCCCTGCGTCGCGAGATGCCGATACCTTTTGTTCGTCTTCCTCCCGGCTTTCTTCTTTTCCATCCGATTCTTCGGTCTCTGCGTTTTCTGATATAGGGTCGGAGACTTCGAGTCCCTCGAATGCAGGAGGAGCACAGTAGAGATGAGAAGCGGAGGAGAAAGCAAGAGGGTAAAAGTTGGGTAAATGGATTCTGAGCTCGAGAAGCTTCAATGGCTTCGGTTTTGGAGAGAAATGGGAGGGAATTCGGTTGGGAAGCTGGGTGAAGAAGAAGAGTTTCTTGCAGGGTGATGAAGAAGAAGAAGAAGAAGAAGAGGAAACTGAAGCTGCAGCAGCAGCCATTGTGAGAGAAGAAGCTGACATTGAGTAAGAAAACAGTAGTAGAAGTCGGAGATGGCGGAATCCCAAGTTACAGGGATGGATTTTGGGGATTGGATTGGGGAGCTTTGAAATTGAAAGACAAAAAATCCCACTGGATAAGGTTGCTTTGATCGGAAACTTTTTATTGAATCAAAACATTGTGCTATATATTATATATACATATATATATATATTATATATAATATTTATGTTCAATTTTTTTTAGTTCAAGAAAAATTTAAACCTTGAACAAAGACATATTTCTTAATTAATTGAATTAATTCTTTTTTTTCTTGGATTAATCCTTATCATTAGAGTTCATTATAATTTTCTTTCTTTTCTTAAGAACATATTATTTTATTAAATCTCAAAATCTTAGTTTTCATTGAAAATCTTTTAAAATATTATTAATTTCTATTATAAAACAAGAAATCAGAGAACATTCCGTTTCTGTTTGTTTCGGATTAACAGCGAGCGCGGCAACATGGGAGCGGCGTTCGAGTGACTTCGAAGCTGAACCCAAGCATCCTTCAGACTCAGAGAAAGCCTTGAGTTGGTGGTGATCTGTCGTCTCTATCGTCACAAATCGACGGCGGAGGTTCCAAAATGTTGCAGATCTCGTCAAACGCTCCGAGTCCATGAAGAAGAAGCTCAAAATCCAGGTGCCGATTTCCTCATCCTCTCACTTAATCTATTCAAATCTCATGTTTAAGAACTAAACTGGATGCTTTAAACAAGCCATTATTGATGGAATCCAATTATTTAGTTGATTCTTTACTTTTTGTTCCCTACGAACACTTTTTGATCTATTATACTATTTATTGTTCGCCAATTTCTTTATGTAAAAACGTGATTAATTTAATGAAGAGAATCATATCAAGTTGATATTAAATAGTCAAAAGAAAAGTATGAACAGTGAGAGATGTTGCATTGTGTGCTTAAAAAAGAAACAGCATGGAAGATATTACAAAGACTATATTCTTGAAATACACACAAAGACAATATTCTTCATTACACACAAACTGAAAAGACAAACATGAAAGTTGTCCTTAAACAAACAAACCCACAAGCCAAGCATCTTTGTTCGGTACAAAGTTCTTTAGAATGTCTGAATTTGAAAAGCCAAACTCTAGACTTAGTGAACATTCTTCTTGTTCTACTTTCAGGGTCATAAACGAAGTGCAGAATTCATACTCTTTATGCTCTTATTCTTGAAACAAACCCTTTTGTCTACTGCAATTACTTCGTTCTGGTTTTCTGATTGGATGATTCTTTGGTTTCTCTCAGTCACCTCCTCATGCTGAGAAGCAAAACTGAGATAAGAGACATCCTACACCTACATTAATTAGAGCCAAAAATGACTTGCCATGCAACCAAACGCGGGGTCTATCCCCATCATGAAGCTTGAGACAATTGTCGGGACATTGCACCAAGCTGGATTTGGTCGCAGAAAGCTGGGGTTTTGGTGCGATGCCTCGCACCAAGAACCCATTGCTTCCCTGTCAAACACAAAGGTCATAGCAGTTGTCAGCTGCTGCAACCCATTTGGGCAGAACCATGCCATGCTCTCCACCATCAATGATCTCTGTCTGTGACTGCCTTGATGGACCAAGATGGTTGATTTGAAATCGTTGCAGTCCCCTTGAGAACATGCTAGATACCTCAGAACTCGAGAGACTAAAGCCCCTCCCCTTGCCTTCATTTGGGGAGTTCAAAGCTCCACTTTCTGATTGAAGAACCACAGAACATTGGGAAGAACCAGTTGAATCAGAAAGGTTCATGTCTTCAATTTTCTTTGGTTCCATTGAGGCTTTCCCATTTTTCAGAGCCTTTGTGTTCAAGAAACGGCCACCAGATCCCCGTGGACGACGCATTGCGTGAAGATGACGCGATTCGTGCATATATGGCTGTAAGACAGATATGCAATCTATATCAGGAGTAATGTGGATATATAGTTCTGCACAGGACAAAGAAAAATATTTGGACTGGCGGATGTTACTGTGGCATATAAAAGCATAACACAAAATTCTCATAACCCTCAGCTGGTAAACAGAAATCAAGATGTTCTTGGAAATTACTCTTTAAACAGACATCTGTATCAGGTAGACTTCTAGTCATGCCAGAAACAAAATATACCGACAGCTACCTATTCACATGCTTTGATGCACATATCTTCTAAGCATTCCCAAGAAAAAAGAGAGAAACCTGAGTAAGACTTGCATACCTTACGAGTTTTTGCAAGTCTATTCTCCATCATTGCCTTAGCACGGATCTTCCTGCGCCTAATGATTCCATGATACTGCTTTGCATTCACATAAATAGGTCCATCATCTGTTGTTAAGCTCATTGGCAGCATAATCCGACCCTGAATATTAAGTTTTTTATTATATTGTATTGTTTTCCACTTCCATTCTGAATTTTTGCATGCTAAGCTCACCCTATGCAGCTCTCTAACAGAGTTTCATCTTTATTTCTTTTGTTGGAAAGTTTTTAAGAAACTAAGACAGATTCGCAGAGAATACATGCAAGTAAAGAAAAAAGGGTATGGTTGAAGAATGGAGGGAAACATACTGGTATTTGAGGAGCATATGCTGAGAGGATGCCATAATGCTGTTCCATGTAAGGATAATTTGCACATACCTACATTTTTTTTCTCAGAATCAGACATAATATGAACAAACAGCATTGTTTTAGAAAAGAAATCCAATTAACATTTTAGATCATACCATGGGCTGGCCAAATCCAAGCTCAAAACGATTGTGATATTCTGACAGGGGGGATTGCAGGGAAAAAATTGGTGAAGGTTTTTGTGGATCCACAGAAATCTTACAGTCACCTGCAAGGATTTTTCAACAGAAGTTTTCTCATCAGAGAAGGATAGAAACCTCACCATTGTGATAGATATTTTAATTAAGCAAGCACAAAAAATGGGGAAAAAAGACTTTCTCGAGCTTCATACTCCTTTCTTTCCCTCTTGTTTCATAAACATTGAAATGAAACTTCAATGTATATCTTTTTTCACCATTCCCATAGTGTATGAGACAAATGTATGTATTTCGATTAGGGTTATATTTTATGGCTACGATTCTACCTTATATGTCTTTTTCATTCTGTTGAAAATCGATTTTACGGTATAGACGGTTATGATCTCCCCTCTATGTCCTGCGGTAATGATTTTTCTAGCATTACGACCTTTATCACACGATGCTGTCCAAAGATCAAATTATTTCGTGGATTGGATTTTACTTGACTGTCTACACCTCCATTACGTGTGCTCGGAGTAGAAATTTTGTATAAATGTATCGCCCTGCTATTAAGTATTTTGATTAAAGTTCTCTTCTTTCCTTGATGGAGTAATAACTAGGAATGATATTCTGACGAAGGGAAGGTAAAATATTAGTGAAGGAAAGAGGGAGATTCAATGAAGTTGGATACTCTCTACTCTTGGATAGAACTCAATATTATTTAAAGCTTGGGGATGATCATAGGCTACCTGCCCTCCCAGCCTAAGCAAACTCAGCTTACTAAAAGCATACCCGTCTCCCAACATCATGCTACTAAGTTACAAGTCAAGTCGATCAGCTAACAATCTATGGCCCTCCTCTCTTAAACATGTTTCCTTTTATAGACAATTATTTCCGGTGGAAATCCTTCATATAATCTAAAGATATTCTAAATATGATCATGGAAATGAAAATGAATGAATGAAGCAGAAAGTTACCAGGATAGATGGAAAATGGAGCTGTGTTCAGTTTCTCAAAGCCATGAGCAGCAACCTGGAGAGCTTGTTCGGTGCCAGTGAACTCTTTCCCATTACTTCCAAGTTGTTGAATGGTGGAAGAAGCCTTCAACTGACCAAAATCCCCAAAGAATGATTGACAACCTTGCCCATAGCCACTCCACAGCCGAGCAGGAGAAGATGATAACTGTCCGAGCGAGTTGGGAACAACTCCTTCATGTTCTTTCAAATACCCAGTTTGTGGTGCCATTTTCCAACGCCCCAATTCCTTCAATTCATCAAAAGAAAACATCTCAATGGGTCTATTCTGAATAAACCGATGAACTAAGGGGAAAAACAAGTCAAAACAAATTGAAGTTCATCTGGGCAGCAGCGATTGAACAAAATAAGAAGATGAACAGCCAAAATTGCCCCCAAAACAACAGACCATAACAACAGATAAGACATAAACAGAGCAACAAAAGCAGAACACAAGGCGATTAAGCAGACCCATATCAATAGAAGCTATTAAAGGAAGGATGAAACAAACCCAGAAGAGAAAAGGTCCCACAAACAACTAAGTTGGGAAAAATGAAGAAAAAAGAAAAGCAGAGCAGCGAGTGAAGATGAAAAACCTTGCTCAATGAAGAACAAAAGAAGAAAGGGGCAAAAAGCAGAGGGCAAAAAAATACTCACAAATTCAGAAGCAGCAAAAAGAAGAAGAAGGATCAGCAGCAGCAGCAGCAGCAGCAGCGGCAGCACCTCGAACTTAATATACGCACAAGAACCCCATTTGATAGGAAGGCTGCTGGTTGGTTCATTTCAAGCAAAGCACTAACGAAGAGAGAAAGAGAAGAGAGAGAAAGAAAGAAAGAAAGAAGAATTAATGCACACAAGTGTAAAATAACTAAAACCCAATAACCAATGATCTTCACCTTGCATGCAACAATTTTGTTCTATATGGAAAGCTAACATTAATATATATCCATCTATAAACAAATTTTTATGCAAAATAAAAAAACAAAAAAAATCAAACTTTCTTTTCTGGGATGTTCTTGATTTCAATTTGGGATATGGGTTTTTCCAATTTTTCCATTCTGTTTCGTGAATCAAATGGGTTTTTGATAAAACACAAATAAAATACTCAAAGTGTGGTTAGGGAATGATTAGTGGTTCTAATTATGCTAATCAGAGTCCTTAATTCGTAGTTGTCTGTGATCTGGTTTGGTTCACAAACTCAATGGGGAGTTGAATATCATATCAAATAATAAAATATCATATTTATTTCCGCTTATTTTATTGAATGGAATACCATTTTCTTGCATTCATTGCACTATTTTTCTGCTTTAAATGATGCTTAATATTATTCTAAGCTACATCCAAAAGTTGACCCCATTTTTTTTTATTTTATTTTTCGGAATGGATCTTAGGTTCGATTAGGTGGACAGCATTATGTTTTCTTTTATCCGTTTATATCTATCTCGTTGTTCAACTATATTCAAATTAACTTTAGTGTCTTATTTATTGAGCTATATTCAAACTAAGCTTTTGGTGGCTAAATATAAATTATACCAAACCCACTCGAAAATAAATATCTTTTTTAAATAAGAAATAAATACTCAAAATGGGTTTTTTTTTTCTTTCATTTTTATCTTTTTGTATTTAAAAAATTTTAGAAAGAGAAAGAGAGATTCTTAGGTGAGATGCACCATCATAGATCCATTTACTATATATTTATTAAAATATAAAGGCCAAATTCCTATAAAGAGAAGGCACAACTAGATCATTTTTTTTTTTAATCTTAACATTATTATTATTATTATCATTATTAATTGGATAGGCTTTTCTATATTTTTCTTAATACACTAAAGATTCAAAGCAAACATGTCTATATACCTAATCTTTTAAATTTTTCTTTTTCTTTTCTTTCTGAATATTTTTTAAATAATTGAAAAAAGTTGGTCATTTTTTTTTGTAAAATCATGAAAAAATATATATATATATATATTATAATTAAAAAAATATTAGTCAAAATATATTCACTTTGTGTCTTTATTAAAAATTATTATAATTATTTTTATGAAATTTAATAAATTAAAATTATGCCCTTTGCATGCATGAGGACTTTTTCTTGTAACTGAACTTAAAATCATTGCCCCTAAAAAAAGGTACGGTTAAGTACCAAAGTGTTCCCTTAATTTATTTTTCCAATTAATTTAGTTTAATTATCAAAAAGTATATATATTTATATTGATTTTTCATTTATCTTTCACCAAAATCCACGTTCAAATTTAAATATTAAAAATCTTGGGATTTTTTTAATAAGTAAAATCTGGATTATTATTATTATTATTATTATTTAATTGCTTCACCTTTTTTCCCTTTAAATTAATTTAATTATTGTCCCATAAATTGAAAATTTTGAGTTGAGAAAATCAATAAGCTTTTATATATATATATATATATATATATATATTTTAAAATATCAACATATCTGAGTACCCAAAGTTCTTTCTTTGGAACATATTTTAGTATATTCCATTATTCCCATATTACAAAGTCATAAGCAATTATAGTTTGTGTGTGTCAATTTCAATGTCTCTATGATAACACCAATATAATTTAACCCAAAATAATTATATATATATATATTTATTATTATTATTATTTAGTATAAAAATTTAGACGTTTTCTTAGCTAAAAATATTTAAAATTAATGAAGCTACTTTGTTATCTTCCATTTGTACATAGAAGCTTAGATGTTTGATTTAAAGAAATAATTATAAGTCGATGCTATCGAAATAAAATTAAAAATTAAAACTAAATTAGAGAGAGAGATAAAAAGCTTATAAGAAACATCGATCACATCAAAAACCCACATATTTATCTTAATATCACTCCGCTTCATTTCCTTTTCTCGAGCACATTATTAATTTGATAGAGAAAATTCCTCCATTACTACAGCGGCAGATATCTTCATAATGTAACGATTCGTTATTGGGTTTTTTTTTTAAGGTAATGGCTGAATTTTGTGAAACTTTATTGTAATTTGTGGCGATGTATATTTTTATTAATAGTGACTAGAATGTGCATGTTAGTAACTTATAAGGAATTGACAATAGGGCTTTATAATATATTAATTAATTAAAATAAATATGTCTATTTTTAGTAGTGGACGCTCCATTACCCCCTTTACCTTCTTCATAAATTTATGCAACACCAAAGCAACCAAATAACTCTCTCTCTCTCTCGAATGATGACGTGTATGACACGTGGCAATTTGAAAGGCACAAAGTAGGGAAAAAGGGCCAAGTGGATGTCTATTAAGATGGCACGTATATATTATATATATAGAATCAAAAAGGACTCTCTCTTCCACTAAGATTTTCTGCCCACGTCATATTACCAAACCTTTTACATTAACCTACTTAATTAATAATTAATAATTAATACTTAATTATATTGGAATCTCTCTTCCATTAGAAAACGCAAATTAGAATCGAGTGTGAAAGGAAAATGTTTAAAAATTACAAAAAGTTGGATCGAAATTATTGGTCCCTCTCTAGCTACCTCTCCATCTTGATTTAATTATTAAAAAAATTGGTTCCTAAAATTTTAAATTTTTTATGTATTTATATAAATAAATTTATTAGATATGAAATTAAAATTTTTTAAAATTTATTAAAACACTAGACTAAACAAAAAACAAAAAAAAAAAAAAAAAAAAAAAAAAAAAAAAAAAAAAAAAAAAAAAAA